CTCAGGCCTTGCATCATTTGCCTTATTGTGGCCGAAATCTCCTCCCAGCCCTCCCTCCTGCCTGCACCCACAGGCACCAGCGGCTGCAACAGGCGCCCACAAGCCCAAAGAGTGAAAGACAAAAGGATAAAAATACCCGTGCAAGAAAAATAAAAGAAAAATGAAGAAAAAACACCAGGCACCATCTGGAGAGCAGAGAAGCACTGGGCAGGAAGGGAGCAAGCAGAGAGGTTGCAGGTTCTGATTCTGTGTCTGCTCCCACCACAGCCAGTCTCTGGAGCCACACCCCTGCTCGGTCACAGCAAACTGGGCATTTACACAAACCTCTGTGGGCACTCCCAGCAGGCAGTAGCTCACCCATCCCCGTGGGGTGGGAAGGGCTGGAGCAGCTCACCCATCCCCACAGTGTGAAGGGAACGAAAAGCAGCATGGAGGAAGGCAAAGGGGAACCTACCCCAGAGCGGATGAGAGGTCCCTGTAGCCAAACTGCCCCCCTGTTCATTTTCCTTCTCACCCATTTCATCCTGCCTGCAGGCACAAAAGGAACTCAGCCTTGGGAGAAGCAAGATGCCAGAAGCAACATTTCCTGCTGAAGTGGATCCATGTGGGGCCAGGGAAGGTGTCTGTCCAGGATGGGCAGCAGCAATCCATGTGGAGCCAGGCAGAGCCAGGACAGGACCCCTGCTATTGCAGCAAGTCAGCAGCAAGCCAGCACCAATCCCAGCCAAAAACTGGGTTTAAACCTAAGCAGAACCCTTTTCCCAAGGCTTGTGCGGGGCCAGCCTGGTGCTCCTTGAACCTGCAAGGGCAGACGTGTGTGACAGCCTAGTGTCCTCACCTCCTGGGCAGGGCGCCCAGAGCGTGGGCACAGCCCCCCAGCTGCCCTGGGGCAGGGCAGGCACATCCCTGCCTGTTCCCAGGGTGAATCCCACCTGCCATGGCAAGGCTGCAGAGAGGGAATGGTGGGAAGAGTGACTTGTCCGCAACTCTAAGGAACATTCCTGCAGCGGAGCAACAGCACTCTCAGCCCCGCCTGTGGAGTGACACGGACTGGCAGATCAGCAGCTCCTGAATAAATCCTGAATAGTGACACAGGTCAGGCAGCTGATTTCTGCCTGAAATAAATGGCTTTGCGGCAGTGCCTCCCCTCAAGGGAAACATGTCCTGACAAGCTGCAGTTACTCTAGTGCCCCGAGGGTTTGTGGAGCCTGCTTCCTTTGGGGAGTGTTTTACTGTCTGCCCGCAATGCCAAGAGCAGCTTTATACCAATAATAAACAATGCAAAACATGGAGCCAGAGCAAACAGCTGATAAAAATCCACATTTTGCTTTCCTGGCTCCACAGAACATGCCGGGTAAGGAAATCTTTGTGCTGCTGGCACATGGCCTTCCTCCTGTCAGGTAAAACACTCCGCGGTGCTGCTGCTGCTGCTCCCTCATGCCGACTGCCAGCACCCATCGCTAGAGGAACGCACAGGACATTCCCCGGACTGTGAATGTTCCTCAGCCCCCTGCTATCGCAGCAGAACTATGAGGCTGTATGAGCACAGGCTCGCATACCCTGCCGGGGTGGCGGTGGAGGAGCTCCCTCCTGCGACGGGCACCACCTGCTCCTCCTGCCCAGCCCGACCCGGCGGCCGCAGCCAGCGCTGAGCTCCGGGCTGCTGGAATATCTCATCCAGCAGCAGCTCGGGGAGCTGCAGCAGCACGGCGGGAGGGAGGCAGAGACGAGCCGAGTGGAGAAGGAGCTGCCGGGGCCCGCAGGGAGCAAGGCTGCAGAGCCTGGCAGGACACGGCGGGTGCGAGCTCCCTGCCGCGCACAGGCTGCCATCGCTGTCTGTTCTAAAATAGCATTTAACATGACAAGAGGCGTCGGATGGGCGCGGGGAGCGCTGGCTCTCCCCATCTCTTCCCTTGCCGAGAGCCTGTCTACGCTGCCATATGTTATTCTGCCGTATACTTCATCATGCTTTATTTGTCATCCTCTAGCACATATGGTAACAGCTCCACTGCCTGGCACTTGGAGAGGCTGGATTTAGCTCTGAATCAGGCACAAACACTCACTCGGGGCAGTGCTCTTTGCTTCTCACCATCCCCACCTCCCCACAGGAAGAGAAACAGGCAGGCAGCTGAGCTAGGTCAGCACTGCAGATCTCTTTCAACTGAAAGCATTTTATTTTAGTATTTTATCCTATACTAGTCCATTATTCTATTCTATTCTATTCTATTCTATTCTATTCTATTCTATTCTATTTTGTATTCTATTCTATTTTCTATTCTATTCTATTCCATTCCATTCCATTCTGCAGCCTCTGCCATGGAAAGCAGAAGAGGTAGGAAAAGAACAGCCACACTTCAGTTTAGCATTTACTGAAAGCCATCCCAAAGAAGAACAACCATGGGAAAAATAATCACGGACACAGGAACCAAAGGTGAGGGACTGCTCATACTGGCCAGGCAGGGAGCTGACCTGAGCCAGACAGACTGGGCCCTGAAACTTGAATGGCCATGGTGATGGCTGCTGTCCCTTCTCTTAAACGTCACTTCTGGGAAGTCAAAAGCACAATCCAACCATTTCCCTTGGTGCAATCATGTTTACTTAAACAGAACACCCTGGCTCCTTTTACCTTGGGCACAGCAGGGACAAACACCGTAGGAACATTGCTTGCCCACCAGCTCTCAGCCTGACACTCCAGAGAGAGCTGTGGCTCCAGGGGACTCTGTCCCTGCTCACTCAGCAGGAACACCCTCCAAAATCCAGCCCCTTTTGCCAGCACAGGGGAGGTCCCTGCCTGGCAGAGAGGACACCAGGGGCAGAGGCTGCAGCAGGGCAGGGGCTTTGCTCACCACCAGGCAGGGATGTCCCAGCTGGTTGTGCTGGAACACTATTGTTCATAAGAAAATATTTAAGAATTTGTCCATGTGCTTGGGAAAATTATTTTATCATGGGATGGTTTGAACCATGCAGGTGTGGACCTTCCACGTATGCCCAGAAATACTCTTCCATGGAAGGGAGGCAGAGAAAGGGGAGACATGGAAGCACTGCCTTTACCAGCCCAGGCAGCACGTGGGAACACTCATGCCCTGCCGCAGAGCCACTCAGGTGTCCAGCTGTCTGTCCATCTGCCCACACATCCATCCACCATTCTGCTGAACCCTTTCATCCCTGATGAAAGCCCTGCTCAGCCGTGCTGGAGGTGGATGCAGGGCCAGGGCCTCATGTTCCTCCAACCAAATAAGACCAGAGAAGGAGGAGAATCCACAGGAAGCCTCAGCCTGATCCCACCTCCCCCAGAGCACTAACAGCCACCTCTGGCAAACAGCAGCAAACCTTCTGCTTCTGTTCCTCAGATCAGGTAACTCTCACTGGACACGACTGGAAGCTCTGCATGGAGCCCACTGCACAATCTGCTGTGCCCCTGAAACCACAGCACAATCACACCAAGTGACTTCAGCAGGCAGAAAGTGTGTGCAGCCCCAAGGAATCTTTTTCTGTACCCCTCACAGAAATCTGGTGCTTTCTGAAAGGGAGAAGAGTCTCCAGATCCTCATTCTTCAGGAGTGCTATGGAGCATCAGTAATGAGTCATTTTTGGCAGGCATATGTGAACAGCATCCAAGGAGGGAGAACTTCATCAGAGCAGAGCAATCCTTCCAGCCGGCCTTGGTATGACTCCAGCAAGCCTGAAATATCCCTGAGAGCTCAGTTCCTTCCCCTTCTCAGAGCTATCCTGACCCTATCTTGGGCAAGGTACCCAGTTTGCATGTTCCCAGGCCACTGGCTTGCAGTGTTTGCTTATTTTTATCCAGGCTTTTGCAATTTAAAGTAAATTTGGGTAGCAAAATGGGCATTTGCTCAGGGAAAGACTTCCTCAGTTACAACAATTTCTGTCCTTCCCCATTAGGAAAGCAGGACCGCGTCACTGCCTGAATGCAGGGTGCAAGTGAGCCCCACACAATGTGCTTTCACCCAATAATTAATCACCTATCACTTCTCTAATTATCAGAGCTTCCATTGACAATTCCCAGAGGCCAACAGCCTGGCCTCTGGCCAAATGCCAGATTCTGCCCCTCCAGCAGCTGCCTGAAATATTTTCCAGGGCAGTGTCTCCTGTCGTCGGGACAGGAAGCAGGACCAGTATCTCCAGTGTCCTCCTGCTCCTGCAGGAGCATCACACGCTCGTCCCACAGTGCCACAAGCACTCTGGCTGCCCTGGACTGCCCTGTCCCAGGGAGCTGTGCAAGGCTGTCCCTGGCACACAGAGCACTGTTCTGACAGGCTCCTGGGCCGAGACAGGGCTGGGTGGACCATGAGAGCCGACAGTGAGTGCTGCCTGGGCATTGCTGAGAGTGAAATTAGCCTCCCCAGGCCAGCCTGGTGGCCCAGGAGCTGTTCTGAGCAGGGCTGGAGGTTGCCTACAGGCCAAATTCCGGTTTTGTGCACCCCAGACAAATGCAGGGACGTTTTGGATTTGCACCTACTGGGGCCAGAGAATGGCTCAGCTGCAGAAGTGTCCAGGCCAGCAGCAGTGGCCAGGCTGTCAGTGTCCTTCAGTCCCCAGGGCCAAGGAAACACAGCCCGAGGTGGGAGCACGGCAACATCCAGCTCGGACAAACCATCTCCCCAGGGTGCACATGTGCAGCCACGTGCCCGGTGCCCTCCCCACCGGCCAGAGGGCACAACATCACCAGAGGGCCAGCAGGTCACTGGCCCAGCCCCAGGACTGTCAGTCAAGGTTATTGGTGACGCACCTGCCCAAAAAGCCAGTCTGGGAGGAACCTTGCCAGCCCAGGAGGAACCTTGGCACACAGGAGCGGGCGGTGGGGACTGGCCACTGTTGACCTTGGGAGCTGCACAAAGCACAGGAGGTATTTAACCCCCTGCAGAGCCCCTTGAAACCTCTTCTGAGCTCTAAACCTCGACAGCTGAGAACACAGGCAGTGTTTTCCTTACCTTTTTACAGGCAGGGTATCGCTTTCAGCTGACTCTGGCGGAGCCGCTATGACTGAAACAACAGGTTACTCGGGGTGAGTAGCGGGAACATCTGAATCTGTTTTAATAAGAGAAGAAAAATGTTCTCTGGGTTTCATTTAAGCCTCATTTATAAGAGCAACCTGCACTTTTAGTTGCTTCCCATCTCTTAGAGCAGGTGGAAAGGGACAGCAAGCTGGCCTCTGGCTGCCTGCAGTGTCTGCACTCACCCTGCCAGGCAGTTATTTGGGACAAGTGTGAAATCCTGATTTGCTAAGAGCTTAATAAACTTTCACATAGAAAATAGCACAGTATATCACCCCTGGGCATTGCTGGCAAAACCTATGAAGGAAAGAGCTAAGGTAGCCATTGAAAAAAATTGATAAATACTGAGACATATTTTTTGCCAAATACATAGATATAATAACAGACATGTCAAAGAGGTTACCTGGAGCAGAAAGACAGCTGCCCCAAACACGACACACAGCTGGCTTGTCCCTTGTCCCTGTGCCATCCCTTGTCCAACATCAGGGCTGTGGAGCTTCCAGGCTGCCCTGTGCCCCATTTCTGCCTGTCCCCCTCCCTGTGGGCACTGCCTGGTGCCCCAGCCTATCTCCTTGTTGTCTCCCTGCAGGAGTGGGCTTGTCCTTGTTAAAAACCCACATCTGGACCTGATGGAGGAGGATGTCCTGTACCACTTGGACTTGGGAACGAAGACGCACAACCTGCCAGCAATGTTTGGGGACATAAAGGTAAAGAGCAGGTCCAAAAGCAAGGCAGCAGCTCCCCCCTGCACAGGCTCTGCAGCTGTGCATCCCATGGTGTTACCCGCCCATGCTGGGCCCCGTTGCTGCCAAAGCTCCTGTGGGGTGGGTTCTGGCTGCTCAGCTAAGGGACTCCGCAGCCAAAGCAGTCTGGGCAAGGAGGTTGTCTGTCCTTGTTTGTTTGGGGCAGAAATCACAACAGAAAATTATCCTTTTAAAAACCTGTAGCTCTGTAAAACCTGATTTAATATTGGCCCCGTCTTGGAGGACAGACAGAAGAGGCATTTGTCCAAAGAATCTTGATCATCATCTACTGGAGACAAGGGAAAGAGAATGTCCTATCAGTTTTGGCTGAGACTTGCTGTCAAAACTGACTTGTCACGATGGCATCCTCTTTAATTTCAAACCAGAGTCTTTCCCTAGTTATGTGGGGGAAGAGCCTCAGTGCCCAGGGCTCGAGCAGCCTTGCATAGCGTGGGCTCCTGTGCCCTGCACCCTGGCAGCAGGATCAGCACTGCCCTGGCTGCTGCACTCTCACCCTCCTCCTACCCTCAGCGAGCATATTTTCCTTTAATATGTAAAATTTGTCCTTTTTACTCCCTGACTTTATGGCCTCTGTGCCATCAGCAGTGCTCACTAATTGCAGTCAGCATTGTTCATAGAATAAATTAACCAATGAGCTCCTCCAACATCTGGGTTTGCTTTGCTATCAGCGGTGATACTACCAGCTCAAATTTGTGAAATTATTTTAGATTTTCTTGCCTAGGACTGATACCCAAGTATGTGCAGCTGTATGGCTGCCCAGACCCAGGGTAGTCACCACCCTGCCAGAGTGAAAAGCTGGGTTTCATGACCCTCAGGTGTTCCAATGTCCCTTGATTGATGGTGAGGAAGTGGCATCCCGCTGCTTTCTCTGGAAGATGTTCCTGGCACAGCCACCACCGCCACGTTTGGGCTGACTGGGGGTGCCTGTCGTAGCCAAGTACCCACACGCTGGTGCTTCATTCCAGTTTGTCTGCGTCGGCGGCAGCCCCAACAGGATGCGGGCGTTTGCGCAGTTCATGCAGCGGGAGCTGGGGCTGGCGGCTGCCGGCGAGGACGTGGCTGACATCTGCGCGGGGTCGGACCGCTACGCCATGTACCGGGCAGGGCCCGTGCTCTCCATCAGCGTGAGTTCCGTGCGCTCTCAGGGCCCGGGGCTGCTGCTGCCAGGGTCCCCCGGCACAGGGACGGGGTGGCACGACCTCTCCCTCACGTGCCCTCGCCTCCCCCAGCACCCACCAGCAGAGCTTTTTCCTCTCGTCACTGTTCAGCCATTACCACCAGTGCAACCTCAGCCGTGGCAAAGCTGCTCCTGTTTGAATAGCATTCCCCAGCACCTGCACTCTCCACTTGGAAAGGGCCACATCAACAACAGACATGCACGTGTTCTGCTCAGCTCAGTTTGGGAGGCAAAACCACTTCTCACCACACCTAACTATGAAACGCTGCTGGGAGCGTTACATTGATACCAGCTCTAAAAGAAATAGCTGGCCTTATTATTAATTCATCTTTCAGAGTAGGATTTTTGGCACCGAACAAAGGAAAAAGCAAACACAGGCTGTGCTGGGGAGCACTCACACCCAAAAGTTTGGTCCTGACACCATTTCTTCAGGCACAAGATTAGTCTGAAGTGTGATTCACAGCAGATGGAATCACTCACACAACAGAGCTCGTGTTTTGTCCCTCTGAAAAAACCAAACCAATCCTGACCAAGGGAATCAAGCTTGAGGGAATCAATCTGAGAGGATCCAAGGGGGAGAACTGCCACAAGATTTGGTGTTCCCCAGCCTGGCAGCAGCAGTGACACGGCCAGAAGCAAACCCTCACCGAGCTTGTGGCCACGCACCAGCTTTGGTCAGTGCAGAAGGGGACACGGGGCAGAGCACACGGCCACCCTGAGAAGCATCATGCAGAGCTGCTGCCAACATCACATTTCTGCAAGTTGCTTAGAAACACAACTGAGCTCAAACATACAGGGGCAGGAACACAGATTCCAGCTCTGAATATTTACAATGAGAATTAATTTTTTAGGCATCGGTGAATAAGCCAGGCTGATGTTCCAGAATAACAACATGCTAAAAGGTCTCATATTTAAAACATGATACTAGGCAAACAGAGCATTGCTCTCACAGCAAAGAGAAAGGAGACAAAGCAATACAAAAACAGGCTGTGTACCTTAATCAATGGTGCTTCCATACGTGCTTCCTTCAGGTTTTTGAAGATGATAGCAAAACCAAAAAAATGTGAGGCACTTTCAAGAGGAAAAAACAAACTCCACAGCACCAAATACTTTTTGTACTTAAAAGTAAAGCTAAGAAAAGGATGTTGGTCTAGCAATGGAGCAGAAGACAGATGACCAAGCAACAAGCACTGGGCAAATGCAGCAGAAGCCCCAGCAGCTCCAGGCCTGCAGAACATCTGCCAGCCCCGGGGAGCAGCAGAAGAGATGGGAGTGGGGCAGCACTGTCTGTGGAGGATGGGAACAAGCCAGGGCCAGCAGTGGGGAGCCAGGCAGGGGCTGGGGACAGAAGGGCAGCAGGGCAGGGAATGTCAGCCAGGAAGAGGGACAGGCAGCCTGCAAGGCACGCAGCAAACACCTGACCCTGCAGCCTGTCCTCAGCAAGGGACACAAACCCTTCCATTGCACATTGTGTCCAGCAATGTTGCAGAGATGCTCCAGTGTGGGGAGAGGAGAGGCTGGAAGGCACATGGAGAAGTGAAGGCTCAGGCTGTTCTTGCTGAAATTCACTACTCCTAGAGCATGAGCAGGACACAACAAAGTGCAAGTCACACTTACACGGTGTAAGCATTGGCAATGCATGGGGAAGGTCTGGGAGCATTCAGATGTTGGGATGCATTTGTGGACCTTCCTTGAAGGACAGGCACCATCTGTGTGCCCACACAGGGTCCCCAGGGATGAACACTAGCTCTACTAATTGAAGAACCTTTAAAGCATTGAGGGGAGGAAAAGAGGCTAGACACCTCACCTGCACAGACTAAAAAGACCCCAAAATGTCTCTTCCCCCTCAAAAAAATTGCTGTTGTCTTCATGAGCAGAAGAGGCCGCAGCAGAAGAGGCCACAGCATAACCCTGAGCTTGTGGCAGTCATGTACCTGTCACCTGCCACAGCCTCGTGGGGACTGATGTCTCTCTTTTCTCTCCTTCCAACAGCATGGAATGGGCATCCCTTCCATTTCCATTATGCTTCATGAGCTGATCAAACTGCTGCACCACGCAAAATGCCGGGACGTTACTATCATACGCATCGGTACTTCTGGGGGCTTAGGTAAGCGATTCATGGTCTTTCTCCAGAGCAAAACAGCTATTATTAAAAAGAACTCTCAGCAATAGGTCATGCAGCTCTGAACTTTAGCATTTTTCCAGGTCTCTAAATATCCATCATGGTATTTTGTTTTGGGTCAAACCCAGAGAACTTGTGGCGACTGGTTTGGCAGAGTGCACATCCTCAGACTGTACAAAGGCCTTGATTCCACTACAGCCATGTGTCACTTTCCAAACAGAAAACATGGATTAGAGGTGACCCAAATGAATCCATGTCTCTTGCTGAGGCAGTGGTGCTGCCCATCCCTGCACAAGCTGGCAGGGGGTACAGGATCTCTGCAAGCCAGAAGCAGCTAAACTCCTGTCACTCAGCACATTCTCACAATCACTTACCTTGTGCTGATTCTGTACATTTTACTTGTTCATCCGTGCTACTTCATGAATTTCAATTATTCTCTGACATCTTTTTTACTCACTGAAAAGAAGAGCCCTGCAAGCACACATAGATCTATTGAGATGTTCCTGTCGTGCTGAGGTTTCGCAGCAGGACACAGGTGTTATGAGCTCTGGCAAGCTCAGCTTCCATTTCCACAGGGATCGAGGCTGGGTCTGTTGTGATCACTGACATGGCTGTGGACTCCTCCTTCCAGCCGCGTTTTGAGCAGGTGGTGCTGGACGATGTGGTGGTGCGGAGCACCGAGCTGGACAAGGACCTTGCGGAGGAGCTGCTCGCCTGCAGCCGGGACATTCCCGACTTCCCCACGCTCATTGGCCACACCATGTGCACCTACGACTTCTACGAAGGTAAAACCAGCATTGCCTGTCCTTCCTCAGCACACATAATGCCAAGTCTTTCCACTCTTCCATGGACAAAGCTGTGCAGGGAACCCAGGCCCAGAAGGGCTGCAGGCAGAGACCCACATGGTGCTGGGGGGCCCAGGCAGACAGGAGGCACCCTCAGAACACACAGTACCACTGCTTGCACCTTGCTGAGTTTGCCACCAAGCTGCTCCCCTACAGCAAGACTGTCACTTCAGAACTACCAAACACTAGGAAAACATTAGGTTGCCTGTGAGATCTCTATAAACAAACTTTGGTTACTCTGGAACCATTTCCTTTGCAAAATTAAATGCTGATTGCAGAGTAGATGAAACGTAATAAATGAAGAATTAATAATCTGAGCACTATTTATAAACCTTTAGATCTGCTTGCAGATCCAGCCATCTGTGTATTGCTCAAGTCCATATTTTATTTAAACAAAAAGCCATTTGAGAGGATTAAAGTAGGAGCAGCAATAAACTGAAGGGCGGCCCAGGCTGGCCAGCCATAGGTAAGCATTTGCCTGCCCCAGGGCTTCAGACAGTGTGCGAGGAGGAGCTGCACGGGGCACAGGTCTGCTCCGAGCACACAGCAGGACAGCCAGAGCCCCCGCAGGGGTTAGAGGAGAGGGTCGGGACGGCTGCCCTCACTGAACAGTGTTAGTCCTGCCTGCAGCCGTACCCGGAGCTGCAGTAGGGGAGCACCAGTGCCCTGGGACCAGCTCCCCGACCACACCGGCATCCCCGCACCAGGAATGCCTCTGCAAGCAGCTCCAGCTTCCATCCACAGCAGCCCCTGCAGAAAAATTGAACCCACATTGAAGGGGTTTCCTCCTCTCCTCAGTGTTCCCATTCTGCACAGCTTGTTGCACCTCTTCTGCAGCCAGCTGGCATTTTTGGGGTTTAATCTGGCAGACCTTCACAGCTCCTATGCAGCAATGGCCTGTCCCCACAGAGCACAGCACCCGCTGGTACCTCCCACCTGAGGGCCAACTCTACCTTTTACCAATGTTGAAACCTGCGTCATTCTTTCCCATACACAGAGACACATCTCGCTGGCTTTAACGCTGAGGGGAATACAAATTAACCAGCTGTTCACAGGAAAGCTTTGTGGGCTTCAGATAGAATGTGGGCACTGCTGGACTTCCCATTTCCAGCTGTGCTCCACGACACCATGCAAGGCCAACAGTGACAGTTCTCTGCTTCCTTTCCAGGTCAGGGGAGATTAGATGGTGCATTATGCTCTTTTTCCAGTGAAAAAAAGTTGGAGTACTTAAGGAGGGCTTATGAGGCCGGTGTGAGGAATATTGAGATGGAGTCCAGTGCATTCGCTGCCCTGTGTGGACTGTGTGGCCTCAAAGGTGAGTCTTGTCGCCTCCACCTCCTCCCCACACACGGGCTAAACCCCCTCTAAGGGTCCTGTTCTGTGTCAGAGGGCCAAACACACATCCTTAATGATTTTATCTACAAAAGAACACTAAAGCAAATTAGATAGTTCAGTAAAACCCAGGTGTGCATTAGGAGACCTGAGTGCGTGCCGGACAAACCGACGGCTTGCTCCCTTCACGCCCCTCCGGGCCCCGTCCCGGCCGTGCTGCCGCAGCCCCTGAGGGTTTGGGAGCAGCGGAGCCGCGGTTCCCGCCTCCGGCCGTGAGGGCCGGGCAGGAGGGCCCGCTCCGCCCGGGGCTCGGGCCAGGAGCTGACCGTGCTCCGTTCCCCCGCAGCCGCTGTCGTGTGCGTGACGCTCCTGGACCGGCTGCAGGGCGACCAGATCCGGGCGTCCCACGAGGTGCTGTGGGAGTACCAGCAGCGGCCGCAGCGCCTGATCGCCGCCTTCATCCGCAAGCGCCTGGGGCTCACCCGCACGGACTGAGGTGGCGGCACCAGCACGGGGCCCGGCCCGGCTCTCGGCGCCCGCTCCGGGAGCGGCAGAGCTGCGGGCCCGGCGTGCCCGGAGCCAGCGGACACCATCTGCGCTGGCAGCGAGCTCAGGCTGTGGAACAGAGCTGCAGATTCCTCACCCCTGGCTCCAGCCGCCGTAAAGGACTGTCCTGTCAGGGTCACTCCTGTCCGCAGCCATCTTCCGGGAAGGAGATCCCTTTGCTTTGGGCAGGCAGAAAGACAAAACCTAGGTAAATAACATGAAAATTAATCCATATTTGTGACCAAAGGGGTCTGCAGAGCTCTCCTGGCATGAGCAGCTGTGTGAAACACCCTTTTACTGACCTGCATGTTCTCCATGCTCCACTATTTTGTGAAACCTCCCGCAAAAAATCCTCATTCTGGCCTCACTGTATCACTAAAGACCCCGACTTACCGTTGCACTGAGGTAGCCCAGACTTCTATAGACTTCTACTCAGTCTCTACCCTGAGACATTACAGACATGAAAACAACCACAAGTCTCAGCCAAAAAAATCTGTGCCCACTATTTCAAAACCAATGTCTGTTCCCTTTAAACTTTCTTTTTCATTAACATCTTGGTATTTATAAAATATGACAACTATAATCTCAATTTCAGTGGTGCAAATTTTTTTTTTATCTTGTAGATATGCTTTTAAAGGCAAGGGGGAAAAAAAAATCCACTGCCTAGGTTTGGGATGATGCCTTTCTGTGAATTGTCTCACAGCCAGTCTGTTCCCCACTGCAGAACACTGCTGGTCTCCCCACAGGAATATCCAGGGAATATCCCCACAGTAATAGCCAGCTGTGAGGTGGCCAAGTGTGCTTTAAAAATAACGAGTTACCCCAAAGGAGATACCAAAATAAAAAGCACAAATATACACAGAATTGTAATTTTAGCACAAGCACACCAAGGCTGAGTCCAGAAGACATCACTGCCCCAGCTCAGGGCAGGCTCTGCAGCATTTCCCCACTAAACTCAGCTGCAGCACTGGGATAATGCTGCTCCTGGGCTGACCCTGTGCTCACTCTCAGGAGTCTGTCACACCAGAAAATAAAGAAAGATCCCAGCTCTATTTATAATTTATACTGAAAAACTAATCTGCAATATGAAATTGAATGAATAGTTTGCAGTAAATATGATGCAGCAAGTTGCCTTCTAAATATAGACAATGGTTAAAGTTTCATCTTATCATAATCAAGGAATATTAGAAGCATTCACGGCAATGAAGATTTTATAACTAAAAAAATCAAATTCTCAAGAAACCTGGAAAGAAAATTGTGGGATTTATTCATGTAACATAATAAAATCTAAAGTAATTGCTGTGCTAAGCTATTTCGGACTTCTGCTGCCAATTAAATCCCAATAATTCCTACTCGAGGTGCTGCACATCAGGTTGGTCTGGGCTATGTGCAGGAGTCCTTGAGGAAGGTGTCCCAGCTCGCAGTCAAAGGGACATGGGCAATCCCATGAGCAGCACACAGCCCAGCCTCTCCAGACCCACACCTGGCAGGTGTAACCTGGTGCTCCCAGCTCAGAAAGGCTGGGAGTGCCTTAGAATGGCTGCACACACAGGGACTGAGCAGTTCTAGGACAGCCAAAGGGAATTTAGGGTTTGCATATCATGGGCCAGACCAGAGTCCTGCTGCTGCTCTGCCCCTCAGATGAGACGTGCTCTACATTTTAAAAGCTGTAGATTCCATGTCTCTTCTTGGATGCTTCGGTGGTGGAAGTTTTGACAAAACCTCTCTCGCATAAAGTGTTTTATGCAGTCCAGCTTCTCGGAGAGCGAGCTCAACACGGAGCCTGGGGTCAGAAATGACCTGTTAAAAAAACCACAGCAATGATCAATAGAAGCCAGAAAGCTCCCTGAGGAGCTGCTGCCTTTCCCCATGTTCTCACGCACACAGCCCCAAGTGCAGCACAGACTCCAATCTCCTCCTGGCTGTTCCTACAGAACCCAAGTGCTTCAAATGCCTTTAAGATTTTTCTCACAGTGTTGCCTTTTGCTTACATGGCAGTGCCACTTCCATTTGTCAGAACAGCAATTAATCTGAGGGAAATTTACTTCTGGAATTTGTCAGAAGTTTATCTGACAAAATTTGTAAGCCTCTTTCCAATCCCTGTTGCATGGTGTGCAGAATTGTACCATAGCTCTTCTCTTTTCATAAATAATTTTGAAATTCGAGAGTGGGAATAATTGCAAACACATTGACTGAGCAGATAGGGAACAGTGAGGGAATTTAAAGATATCAAGATGTTCCTTGAGTTCATTTGAAATTGAGGGAGCAGCCTGCTCAGCAACCTGGGTGCCCTGAAACACGAGTACAGCCAGTTCAGTTCCTCATTCATTTACACAGCACGGTTACAGAGCCTTACCTGCTCCTCACTGTAGGTGTGCAACCTGAACAGGGGCTGCTGCAGCTCAAACTCCTCCTTGGCTCCAATGCCCATCCGAGCTTTTGACGCCACCGTGTCAGCCACTGCTCTGGCAGGATCTAATTTTGCAACAATGGCAACCTGAGGACACCGTATGAAAGTCACAATTACTCTGTCTGTGCAGAGCTAAGGTCACTGTCAGGAGCACACCCTTTGAGAACACCATCATTCACAGTCTCTGCAGTGACCCTGTAACAGCAGCACAGAGACAGCCTGGGCACAAGAAGGGTGTGTGAGGGAGAAGCAACAGCACCCTGAGCTCTCCAACAGGCACTGGCATGAGCTCCAGTGTCCAACCTGGTCTCCACAAGGATCCAGCAGCCTCAAAATTCTGCAATACCCACAATTCCAGACTTTCTTCTTTTTCTTTCAATGGAAACAAAGGTGTTCAGGGTGATAATTCACAATTTTACAGAGTCACAGGCAACAGCATTGAGTTATATGCCCCAAATAATACAACTCTGTTTTTTTCTGAAGTGCATCTCTTTTAACTGTGCAATTTCCTGTGGCTAGATCAATATCAAAGACTCCCAGACACTGTATTGTGCCAGAGTTAATATTTTTCATTGCTTACTTACTTTGTGTTAAAATATTCAGATACAGGCTAATACTACTTTGGAAATACAGAAAGATGCATGAGCAAAATAGCTAAAGTCAGAAGCCCATATGAAGAATGGCTAAAACCAGAAAAAAATACTTTAAATTGCGTACAATATTTTTTTGTCCATCTCTTTAATAAAATACCACCTCTGTATTTTATTTACTGCCCAAATCTAGAGGCCAAATGACTTTAGTAAAGATCTTTCCCCCTCTCCCCATACAAACATTGTACATACTTTATGAAGCAGCATTTCATTAGTGTGAAACAAAGAACAGATGTTGATCAGAGAAGTATAATGAAGTGGGAACATCAACATCCAGGCAAAGGCCCCTCTAGAAGCATTTTCTACTCTGGCAAGAGAATTGACTCAGTGGGAAGAGATCAACAGATCATGACTACCAACCAGCCTCTTTGGAGGAAAAAACAAGGAGATTACATACAAAAATGTAAATTAAGACAAAATTACTCTTTCAAAAGTCAGCAGTATAAAAAAATAACCCTAGCACTACTTTTACTATGACATTAGAATCATTAGTAAGCATTTTACTTACTAAAATAAGTGTGTCTTTTTAAAAGTAATGTGCAAAAGTTTCAGAGACTCAAATATCTCTAAAGAAAAGTCATCCAAGGTGTGCAAGTTTCCAGAATTTAAAAAGAATATAAATTACTCATAAATCTTGCCTTAGACTCAAGGTAGACTTAAGGTTATTAAAACAAACAAAACCCAAAAAAAATCACAGAAGAAAAATCACATCCAACCTGGAAAAAACACAATCTCTATCTCCTCTCAGATATCAGCAGCTCCTACAGTTCAATTTAATGTCATAATGTTCCTGTTGTCAGAGCTAGAAAGGACACAGGATTTATAACAGGAGAGGCTTACAGTTGGTCAGCCCTAAAGTGCCTTTTACCCTGTTCCCTTACTTGCTTTTAGAGACTGTTCTTTTATCTCTGCCTGCGCTGACTGCAGCGCAGCCAGGGCCAGCCCACCTGCTGCCGGAGCACTTCCAGGCGCTTCTCCTTCTCCTGCTGCTGCTGGGCCTGGAGCAGCGCCAGCTCCTTCTTCTGCAGCAGCCGCTTCTGCAGCAGGGCTCGTCGGAACTGCACCCTGCCGAGCACAGGGAAACGCTGGGCAGTCACGGTGCCGCTCTCCGTGCTGCCCTTCAGCTCGAAACCTGCCTCAGCTTCTCTGGACACACCTTGTGAGGCCGTGCTGGTTCACCCAGACACCTCAGAAACACAAGGCTGCTTTTTCATTCCAGTGTGTTCTTTTTGTTGGAGTTCTTGGGTTTGGGTTCTTTGGGCAAGAGGAGTTTGGGGAGTTGTGCTTTTTGATTTGTTTCTGGGTGGGTTTTGGCTGGTCAGTTGTTCTTTCAAACAACTTGGCTAACCTTTCAGATTCCATGTCTAGACCGCAGATTTTCTCTAGCATGCTTTATATAGCCCTGGTACTCTTTTTTTCTCCCCCATTTTCTTTGCCAAGAAGAAATGTTCTCTCACATCTGTGTATGGCAGAAGAAATCTTTCCTATAACCCTTTCCATTAAAAGAAACCCCTCACTCCCAGTCTTGTCACTGGAAAAAGGAAAAAAAAACTTGAGACTTCCATCCTTCTTTCAAAGGAAAAAGCTGGAGGTTGACACCAGTAACTCCAGAACTTTACCCACAGCACTACCGTGCTGCTCCAACTTTCACTGCAGGCATTTTTAGACTATTGTGCAGAGCCTGTTCCTTATGTGAGCTATAGATATTTGTTGGGATGTCACTTTTAGTCCTTCTACAGGAGTTGCCAATGCCATGCTTTGAATTTGGAGAATTACCCTGCTTTTGCCCTTCAGATCTGAACTTGCCTTTAGAGAAATTGAGACAAGACAGCTGCTTCAACTACAATAAAACATGTATTGTTATTTTTTTAGTCTCCAAATTTTAGTAA